TCTCGCCCAGTCCCACCCCTCCGGCCACCTTCTAATTAATTTCCTTTCAATATGCACGAATCCGTGCACCAGGTCACTAGTTGATAAATAAATAATAAGACAAGAATAAACTGGGTTTCATATACCCACAACTGTATACCTACTCTTACCCCACACTGTGTGTACATAGCTATAATCAAATTAAATATGTGCCCTTGTCTGTAGGGATTTTTTGTTTTGCTTTTTAAAAGTATGCACAAGTGCTGGAGAGGATGTGGAGAAAAAGGAACACTCGTGCACTGCTGGTGGGAATGCAGACTCATGTGGCCACTATGGAAAACAGTATGGAGTTTCCTCAAAAAACTGAAAATGGAACTCCCATTTGATCCAGTGATCCCACTTCTAGGAATATATCCCAAGAAACCAGAAACACCAATCAGAAAGGATATATGCACCCCTATGTTCATAGCAGCACAATTCACCATAACTAAGATTTGGAAACAGCCTAAGTGCCCATCAGTAGATGAGTGGATTAAAAAACAGTGGTACATCTACACAATGGAATAGTACACTGTGGTAAAAAAGAAGGAACTCTTGCCATTTGCAACAGCTTGGATGGAACTGGAGAGCATTATGCTAAGTGAAATTAGCCAGTCAGAGAAAGATAAATACCACATGATCTCACTCATTTGTGGAATATAGAGAACTACATAGACTGATGAACAGGGACAGATCCAAAGACAGAGAAACAGACTATCAATCCCCAGAGGGAAAGTAGGGAAGGGTGGGGGTAAGGGGAAGAGATCAACCAAAGGACTTGTAATCATGCATATAAGCCAAACCAATGGACATGGACAACAGGGGGATGAGAACATGAGTGGGGGGGGGGGAGGTTGGGGGTTAATGGGGGGATGAGGACACATTTGTAATACCTTAACCAATAAAAAAAAAAGTATGCACAAATAATGTTTGCTGTTTAAAAATATACAAAGTAACAGGCCCCCTTCATAATTTAAAACCCCATCATTTCTCCCAAACCCCCTAATCTCATTCCCTTCTTTATGTCTTTTTATGAGTAGAAATGCAAGTATTTTATTTAGCTTTTTTTCTGTAACATTATATCATAAGCATTTTCTCATAACATTAATAGGTTGTAGGCATTTTAATGGTGGCATATTAATGGTGATAGTAGCAGCTACCACACGTTAAGTAACTACTGCATGCCTCGCACACAGTCTTACACAGTCCTCTTTTGACGGGTGAGGTAGCTGTGTCATTGTTCTGCCTCTCCCATGTATACCTCACCATGTGGATATGTGACAGTTAATCATTAACCAGTCTTCCCCCATTGTTGGACAATTATGGTTTCTTATTTTTCACTATTATAAATAATGTAGTGACTATCATAGTGTCTGCATTTCAAATTGTTTCTGCATTTCAAATTGTTTCCTAACTAAGATTTCTGGAATAGAAATCTTTTTGACATAAATTGTCTGTTGCCTTCCTGAAGGGTTTTAGTACCAATTTATAGGGACTGATTAATTCTAAGGGGACAGAAAGGAGAGAACGGGAGTGACATTTCACAGATGAGGTGACATTTGAGCTGGCTCCTGCAGGATAAGTAGGGCTTTGCCAGAAGCGAGGCAGAGCAGGCCGAGCATCCCCAACAGGAAAGAAAGAGAGCAAAGGCACCGAGGCACGAGGGGACCCCTCACCCCAAGAGAGGCGGTCTGCTCCCTTTGTGGATTTGCCACCAAAATCCTAATCAGTTAATTATTTTAGAGTTGGCAGGGAAGAAAATCAGAATAGAGTCAAAAGAGAAACTTAAAATTCTAATATGTGATTTTGCCCCTGTATATATTTCCAAACCATCTCAAAGGAAAGCTCCTTTGAAGTCCTAAGACATTCGTGTTAGTCTTTCTTTTTTCCTTCCCCCAAAGGGAGAAGAAATCCCCTGAGGATTTAGTATAACTGGGAAACAGATGTAACCTCTCTGGCTCCAGCTGCTGCCCTGAATTTAAAGGAGCAGGAACAACACCTGTGACATTAGACCTGATGTGTGTAGGGTTCATGATCAGTGTCCTTCCAGTTCTATGCAGTAAGGAGAATATCGTCAGCTTCGTGCATTTGATAAGATTTATATCCATTTGCTTGATAAAATGGGGTGAAAGTAACTTTTCTATTTTTAAATATAGGGTAGATGCCAGACACTAGTGAGTCAAATTCTGCAGTGAAGTAGAGCTGTAGTCGGATTTCAGCGTTTATCTGAGCATGGTGTGTCTACAGGTGCTGAAAGCCGAGAGATAGAAGTGGTCGGCTAAGGGAGCGGGTCAGAGAGCGGGTCAGAAGGCTGTGAAACAGAAGCCTGCAGCCCCGTCAGAGGTTTCCATGGGCTACTTCTCACTAATGCTGCCCTCCCGGCTGGAAATGCGGGGTGGTCAGTAAGCCACCTCACATCATATTTTGAAGAAGGCAGCTTATAAATTATGAATTAAGTAATAAAATATTTCTAAATCTGCCAACATACCTTCAGGACAAACAGGATTTTCTTTTTGCATCTGATGTTTGTGCTGCTCCTGTGAAGATTTAATCTAGCTGGCATTTGTGATGTTTATGGCGTGAACTGCCTCAAAACCTAAGTATGAAATAGAATTTGAAGGAATTAGGGAAACATGAGTTACAGGCTGTTTTTAAATAAATTCTACCTTTCTGCTTTTAAGGAAATATAATAATGGGAATAGATGAAGTGATCCAATAGATGATCAGGTTTCATTGATAGCTAGGAAATGAAATCTTTATCATTGGCACTGTCATACACATATATTACAATGGCTCTAGACATCACCCGTCAAAGTTGATGTGGTCCATCTTCCGGTTGTCTCCTGTTCTGCAAATGTCTCCTCTGAAGGGAGCCAGTAAGTGGAAATATGACTCCTCATTACCACCAGTGGAGCCTTAGGGACCAAAAGAGTACTTTCCTTTTAAGGTTCTAGCGAGCTATTGATTGGATAATATTTATAACACCCTGAACACTGTGCTAGCACTTCCTAATGATGGAAGCGGGAGGAGGAGTTGTTATTTTTGTTTTATTATTATTGTGGTGATTATTTAGATTATTTTATCATTTTGACTTTCATTCCTGCCTTTTTAGTCTTCTCCCCAATCCTAACAAAGGAAGATGTAAAATTGGAAGATTGGATCTTAATAATATTTATCTGTCTGTGGAAGGCAGGCTGGCATTTGATGAGACACAGGAAATATGAAAACGTGCCCCCTGGCCCTGACTGGTTTGGTTCAGTGGATAGAGCATTGGCCTGCAGACTCAGGGGTCCCAGGTTCGATTCCGGTCAAGGGCATGTACCTTGGTTGCGGGCACATCCCCAGTAGGGAGTGTGTAGAAGGCAGCTGATTGATGTTTCTCTCTCATCGATGTTTCTAACTCTCTATCCCTCTCCCTTCTTTCTCTGTAAAAAATCAATAAAATATATTTTTTAAAAAAAAGAAAACGTGCCCCCTGGGCCAGGTGTGCAGCTCTCACCCAAACATGAACTGCTGTGTAAATAGGGCATCATAGGCAATGAACTTCATCTGAAAGGGAAACTCCTGCCCTTTCACAATTTATGTCCTAAAAATGTTTGCTTTAAGATGTTGGAAATGACTGGGATTTTTATCAAAAGTTCTTAACCAACTTTTTAAATCACATGCTAATGGAAGCCTATGGTAAAGAAAACTCTTAGTCTACAACTTAACATTTCTCTGCAGCAACCCTGTGTCCACCTCTTGATTTCTTTAAATAATATGTGCTGCCTAAAACACAAAATCTCCTTGCTTAGGCTGCCATTACTTGGCCCGTTCTCAAACAGCCATAGGTTTTGGAATCTAAACCATCTATTTTTCTTCTTACACCTAGCTCTGGCCCTTTTTCTAATAGACAGCATGTCCTCTCTTGTGTATTTGTAAAGAAGAAATCTTTTTAAAATAGCACATTAAAAAGTGTAAAGTTATTTACTTGAATTAAAATGTTTGAATAATGTATATAAATCTTTTTAAATACTCAAAGCAATCTATATATATAAAAGCCAAGTGACCAGAACACCAGAACGACCGGTCGCTATGATGTGCACTGCGGCTGGCCAACTGGTCCGAAAGGGGGGCGACCCCTCCCTCTGACTGGCCCTGGCCAGATTGGGGGCCCGGCTGGCTGGCCAACCTCCCATGGACCCTCCCCTCAGCCGGCCCCTCCTCCTGACCAGCCCCACCCCTGATCCGCCCCATCTCAATGTGGGGCGGGGCCAGCCAGCCAACCTCCTGTGTCCCCTCCCTCCTGCTGGCCCAGCCTAATCAGCCCCCATTGAGGGGGCCAGCCAGATCCCACCTATGGATGAATTCATGCACCGGGCCTCTAGTTGATCATAAAAATAGTTTACATTAAGGGTTAGTTTGCATTGCTCCTGTGGTTGCCATGGTAAGTGAATTTTTATTGCTACCATTAATGAAGGTGATTTCTGTTCAGTTTCAGATTATAAAGTTCTGTCCTAGAAAAAAACACTCATGTAATGTGGTGTTCTTCCATAAAACTTTCCTTACTCCTCAAATTCCCAGTTCTCTTCATCTTTCTTATGCTCAAGGCTTTTATCACTTAACTCTTTCTATCCACTTAGCTATCCTTATTCACCCTTTATCACTTAATTTTCTCTTTCATTTTTTCATAGGTTTTTGTGTTAACTTCTCTAATTTATTGTAAGCTCCTGGATGAGAGATGCCTGATAGCAGGACTATATTGTACACCAAGCATGTCAAACTCATGGCCCTCGGGCCGCATGCCTTGTTTATTTGGCCCGTGTTAGCCTTTGAGTTTGACATGCTTGTTTACACTATATGTATGCCACACATAGTTGTTGATTGACGGGAGTTAAAATCAACTTCATCTGTTCATTCAAATTTCACTGGATGTCTTTAATACCATATCAAAATTAATACATATGTACAGTATCTGAAATGTGCATCCATTTCTCCCCCAGGTCTATCAGCTTCAAGGCATCCCCAAGCTTCTGCACCTCCTAAAAGTTCAGAATGAAGATATTCAGAGAGCCGTGTGTGGGGCCTTGAGAAACTTGGTGTTTGAAGACAATGACAACAAGTTGGAGGTAGCTGAACTCAACGGGGTACCTCGGCTGCTGCAGGTGCTGAAGCAAACCAGAGACTTGGAGACTAAAAAACAAATAACAGGTAGTGTTTGCTGAATATTAAAGTGTATAGACAGTGCACCCCAGCCAAATGTGTTACGTCATCTCTTTTTCTTAAGTTTCCTGGGACAAATGATTGATGGGCTCATTGTCATTTGACAGATGGCTTTTAAGGAACATTGTCATCGGCTGGCTAAGACCCCAGGTTCAAGTCAAGTTTGAATTCCTTTTCTTCTGAGGAAGAAATTACAGTGAACTTTGTAACAGGGTTTCAATGTTGTCCAGGGTGTCCAAAACATTCTGAAGAAACCCAACAAGAACCACACGCAATTCATTTTATTATTCACTCAATACTCTATTTGCTAAATCTATACAAAGAAAGTAAATTAGTCAAATAGTGTCCTAACGTAGAGGATCAGTTTAAATCAAGTTAACCAAAATACCAGTAACTGTACTTCCCAATCCTTCTGTCACCTGAGCCCCTCAAAATACCAGCTTCCTAGCCCATCTAGCCCTCTACCCCAAAAAGAGAAAAAGAAAAGAGTGGCTAGATATGTTTTTCAGTTCTGTACTTCCTGTGTCTGTTCAAATACTGATTTGAACAAAAGAATATCTCCTTTCTACCCAATGTATTTTACACAAGGAAACTAAAACCCAAAGAAGTTAACCCTTTTAATATATAAATGTTTTTCAGTGGTAATAATTGACTATTTTTACTTTAAAATGAGGTACTTCATAAATGTGGTTTTAAGTTGAATATATTGTGATTATGCCATCCACACTTTATTATACAACAGCTTTCTTTTTTCTATAAAACTATTATATCCTCTCTACTTATTTATATCTTAAAATCTCACATTTTTTCTCTCTTGATGTATTTTAATTTTATAAAACTATATGAAGGTTTATGCCATGCTACCCTTCTGCCTGCCTGCTATCATGCCCCATGGCATAGTTCCTTTCATATTTATGAGTCATATTAAAATACCTACAGAAATTGAGTGATCTAGATACTCTTTCATTTATTCAGCCAACATTTACAGGGCAGCCTACCAGGACCAGGCAGTGAAAATAACAGTCCAGAGAGGTGTTGTGGCTTTTATATTCCAGCAACAAAGATTTTCTTCATTAAAATATAGAAATGAACCACAAGAGAGAATCTTGTTTTACAGTTAAAAAAATAAAAGACTTTATGAAGGAGGTATGTTTCATTGTAGACCTTAAAAAAGGGATAGCCTTGGGGCTGATGTTTTAAAGGAAAATGAAAGTTATTCCCAGCAAAGAGAACATCACTACTAGCAAAGCAAAGAAACAGAAAGAAGCTGCTGGTCATTTAGAGGAAGCTTGGATAAGAGTGATGGAGGTTAGCATACCGGGGTTGCTAGAAAGCTTGGGAGGATGTGTGGGTGTGTATCAAGGAAGTAATTCATTGATTCAGACTTCCTCTTCTTTTGTATAGGAAAATAGGAAACTAAGGTCAGAGAACATTCTGTGGTATTGCTGCCATGGCAACCATTCAGTCATCTTTAGATCATCTACAGAGCTGATCAATGGAGTTTGCTTGTGCTAGTCCCAGGACTTCTAATATAAGCCAACATTCCTACCAGAGGGTGTTCATTATATGTTCATTGAATTGAGCCAATACTTGAATGTTTGATACAAATCCTTCTTAATAACTTCCTTTGGTTCTATTAGTAGAAAAGTTAAATAAGTGCTTTTCTGGCCTCAGAAATAAATTGTTGACTTAAATAGACACGTTTATATCTTTTGTTGGAAACACAAAGTGAGTAGCCATATATGTGAATCTCTTCTTGTCTAGTTCATAAACATCTTTTTATTGAGTCCCTATTATGTGCTAGTCACTCAACTTGAGCTTTTCCTTTTTCATCTCTGTTCCTCCTGACAGCTCTAAAAGGCATTATTGAGGATTTACATATGATCATGTGAGGTTCAGGGGGATTAAGTAAATGGCCCAAGGTTACACAGTAAAGAACAAAGTCCAGATTTGAGCCCAGTTTTATCTGGGTGTTTTTGCTCTATCAAAGTGGCTCCCACTGACAGTATGGGGACACGGGATGATTAACCTTTACTCATCTTTGAAAAGGGGCTTGTCTTTGAGAATCTCGGAGGAAAGAGCTCTCCCTCACTTCTCTTTGACCCTCCCTCTCTCCCCTTGTCACTGCCTGTTCTGCTGTCTGTTCTGCTCTTGTGTAGCCTTGGATCTGGCCTCTGTGATTCGGTATCGCACATTCCCCATCTATCCACCACTCTGCTAGTGCTTTCTTTCTAAAATGAGAATATTGTCTCATTATGCCCCCCGTTGCCTATAAGGTAAAGTCTGTACTCTGTAGCATGCCACACACAGATTTTATTATCTGAGCCTGATGACCTTGCAGCAGTGTCTCCCCTCGTACCCCTCTAGCCCGAGTTCTGCAATGCTGAAGGATTCACCGATGTTCCATGTTTCCCTCTGTCTCCATGTCTTTGCCACTGTTGCCTTGGACTGGCATCCTGCTCTACACTTAGAAACCTTCGATAGCTGTCCCAAGTATCACTTCTCTGAAGTATTTTCAAAAGCCATCCCTCTATTTACTTTCAGCCCCTCCCCCTTGGTTTGGAAGGGAGGGGCTTCTCTGATCTACCTTTGCATCTTTAATGTTAGGTTGCCATTCATTTCTTGCCTGTCTATTGCGATAACACTGTGGTGCTCATGTAAGATTCTCAACAACTCTGGATGTCTGACCAAATATTTTACAAAACCAGACTTATGGCCTGGGAATATTTGAATTATACATAAATAAGAGAATCAGGTGTGTTTGCAGATAAGACCTTGATTTTTCTAACTAAGTTATTAATACAACTGTCAATTTATATGTTCTCTCTCTCTATCAGAGCTTTGTTCCCTATAGAGAATGTCAACTCACTGACCTTTCTGGCATTTTCTGTACCAGCCTCAGAGAGAAGCTCTTCCCTCTTCCAATGAAAAGACTTCAGGATCAAAGATCTCTCCCCTATGAGATGGTTCCCCCTTCCTTACCAGGGAGTGTGGTAGTGTACTTTGATTGAAATGAGAACAGTACATACTAGTCTCAGAGATTCATTTTCAAGGTCACTGAGGAATGAGCACTGGCTGTAGTGTGTAGGTCTCTGCCTTGGATTAAAACAGACAGGGGTTAAGATTTAGGGGATTCTTGTCCCCCTTCTGCATATGGCAAGGAAGAGTCAAGGGAAGACTGTCAATGAAATTTGTTGAAAATTTATTTTAACCTCTGTGTATTTTATAGAAATACTTTTTTGGATTGCTGTATTTTCATAAGATATGAAAACCATTTTTCTATAAAATATTCATTGTGCACCTTCTTTAAATAATTGTGTTATTTTTTTTCTGCATTTGTAATGTGCAACAAGATACCTTGGGTTTATTTTTAACTTGGAATAAATGGCCTTTGTGGTAATGTAATATCCCAGGTAAAATTTATAAAATTTAGGTGAAAGGAAGGGTATATTTTTGCAAAGGAGATTGTTTTTTTAAAAAATCCTCATGCTCTGTGATCACTTCGAAAAACAAAGTTAAGCCCTAATAGGTTTGGCTCAGTGGACAGAGTGTTGGCCTATGGACTGAAGGGTCCCAAGTTCGATTCCAGTCTAGGGCACCTGGGTTTCAGGCTTGATCTCCAGCCCTGGTCCAGGCACCTGAGGGAGGCAACCAATCGATGTGTCACTCTCTGATCGATGTTTCTCTCTGTCACTCCCTCTCCCTTCCACTCTAAAATCATTGGGAAAATATTCTCAAGTGAGGATTAACCAAAAAAAACAAAACCAGAAAACAAACAAAGTTAAAAACCCCAGTCAGTTCTTTTCCTGCTCCCGCTCCCCATCTCCTGCACTGAAGAGAAGGATTCATTTAATCATAAAATTCGCACATTTTGCTACCTTATTATCATGCAGGCTTTAATATCATATCATGAAATAACTATACTTCCAGTCCAGTGAAATAACTATACTTCCAGTTATATCTGTAAGATATTAAAATATAGGTAATATCTGTAAGATCCTTTTACAGATCACTAGTTAGCTATGTTTTGCAAATATCACAGTTAACAATAAATTTCTAGATAATGCAGTTATCATTATTGCTAACTATTCAAAGTATCTCTTACTAGAATCCACTTCCCTTTCTTTTTGGCTAGAATGAGAGCTTAGTGATAGAAACAATAGGCAGACCAGCTACAACAAAGAACTATAATAATTGAAATTTAGGCCCTATGAATAAATTACCCAGAAGTTCAAGGTGAGACAAATGAAGACCTAAACTCTAAATATTATATCAGGGAGTCTAGAATCAGATCATTGAATAGATATTCAGGTTTATCTAGTCCACTAATTTCCCAATACCAGAAATGGGAATCATTTTGAAAATATGAATTCCGGGAATTCATCCTGAGATTCTGGCTCAGTCAGTTTGGTGTGTAACCCAGGAATACATGGTTCTGATTTGCCACTGGGCTCATTTGGAAACTGCTAGTTGAGTCTAAAACACTGGTTTCAGAATAAAGCCCTCTCGTCAATATTTTGATAAAAGATGAGCTCATTTTTATCAGCTCCAATGATGGAGAGGTTCTTACAAGCATATCTTTCTGTTGTCTTCAGTACTCTCTTAGAAGCTTATGCTTTTAGGGAGCCAGAAATCTTCCCAATCATTTCCACTCATTGGTTCTGGTTTCACCTGCTGTAAATGATTTTTCACTGTTGAATTTGCATTTCTTCGGTTACTGGAGAACATGCATTCCTATGTATATTAGACTCTAGTATCTGTTAACTTGGGGTTAATTTTTCTACTAGGCATTGAATTTTAATAATTTATAAGAACTATGTATATTAAGAGTATTAACTCTTTGTCTCATATTGTCATACATGTTTTCCCAATTTGTAAGTGATTATTTGTTGGATTTGTGTGTATATGTGTGATGGTGTGTTATAAGTGTGTATAACCTTGCATCTCTGTTGAGCATTTAAGCTCTTCCTAGCTTCGTGCCTTACAGAAATTTGGCAGGCATGACATTTCTGTACAATACCCTACATTAAAAATTCAAAAATTATGTGTACTAAAACATCCCAAACCATAGAAATAGCATAGAAACAATAATTGCATGTCAACCTATAAAGGACATTGAAAGGAAATTCCACTCCCTTTGTTCAAATTAATCTTCCCTGGGTTTTATTGTAGGTGTACTTTTCCTTTGCGTGCCCTGTGTGGTCCTTAATAAAAAAGAAAGTATTATGCTTCACACTTTTAAGCCTCTCGCAGGAAGAAACTCTTTTTTATTTATTTATTGGGGTGATATTGGTTAATAAAGTTAAATGGGTTTCAGTGTACAGTTCTATAATACAATCTGTATATTGTCTTGTGTGTTCACCACTGCAAGTCAAGTCTCCTTCCATCACAAGCAGAGACTCTTAACTTGGCTGCTTATCTAGAACAGGAAGCTTTTTCCCCTTCTCTTTTTAACTTTCTTTGGTATCTTAGTAACCAAAACTCTACCTCAGAGCTGCCTTTAATTGTTTTCAACCACCTGGGGTTTTATTCTGTCTCTTGCCCTTCCAGGGCCTCTTAAGGTGAAGTGGGAGGAATGAAGTCATTGTGTTGCAAAACCTGCGGCTGAGGGACCCTGAGGATGACTAACTCCAATGCTAGTTTGATCAGGAAGAGACCTCTTCATTAGCCAGAATTCTAGTCCTTACAAGACTCGAGACCCAGTGTCGCCGTATCTAATGGGAGCTAAGTGTAGGTTGCAGTGGAAATTTGGTTATTGTTTTAGAAATTAGTCCCTTGTGCACAGCCAAAGTAAATTGTTTAAACACTAAGTCTAGCATGTTCTAATTGATGAGCCAACTACAAGTGTGGTTGAATAATTACCAACCTTTAACTGCACAGACTCTTATTTCAGTCATTAATGTTAGAGGAGATGATATCACCACATAATTCAGTCAAGACCGCCATCTTTGCTTTTTTTCATAAAGTAGACTGCCCTGTATTCCTATGCTTCCTCTTTCCTTTCATTCAGACAAAGCAGTAACTTTAACCCAGTGGTTCTCAACCTTCTGGCCCTTTAAATACAGTTCCTCATGTTGTGACCCAACCATAAAATTATTTTCGTTGCTACTTCATAACTGTAATGTTGTTACTGTTATGAATCGTCATGTAAATATCTGATATGCAGGATGGTCTTAAGCGACCCCTGTGAAAGGGTTGTTCGACCGCCAAAGGGGTCACGACCCACAGGTTGAGAACCGCTGCTTTAATCCATAGGCATTATTGACTGGGCAGTAGGAGAGTGAATGGGAAAGAAAATGAAGATCCCTTCTCTTTCTGTTCCCCCTCTTTCTCTTTTCCTGGGTGCTAGTGAGTTAAAGAAGTTTACTGAGGGTATGAAAGATGGCCAGGCAACTTTATACCTTCTGAGAGTCACTGGAATAGTAAGCAATAGGTATGTAGTCTTTCCACTGAATCAGAAGTATTTGAGCAAAAAAATTATAAGAAAAACAAATCCTAAATGTATACACCATTTTGTATTCTTTCTCACTACCCAGCTTCAGACTGTCTCACAAGGGCCCAGAAAGTACAGCATCTTATTATCTTAATTTTTTCCTGAGTTGGTTTATATGGCCTTTCTCTCTTTAATAGGTGTGTGGTATGGGATGGAGAGAGTTCAGAAAGAAAGGGAAAGTTAAATAAGCAAATGTGGTACCCGTCTTAGACCAATTCTCAGGCCATACAAGTTTCCAGATAGATAAAATACTCCTGTCTCTCCTTCGTTGCCAAACTATAAATATAAGAAATAGGTGATGTAGCCAGCATAAATTCCAGGAGGACATAAAATCTATCATTGGGTCAGAGTCAATAAATAGTAATTGGTAATGTTGATCAGCCTACGGTTGACAGGCATAAGCATAGTTGGAGGCTTTCCTCAGGCCCTTCCTGTGAGTATTGGAGGCAAATGTGAGGTGGAAGTTGCACAGTGGCGTATTCTCTCCATGCATCTAAAGGAGAAAAATAAGACCCTTTGAAAACGTTGAAGTCAGTTATAATAGGGTCATTTTAAGTCTCCCTCTTGGTAGCTCAGAATTTATTATTTCAATGAGCTCAGTTTATGGTAGGGGCTTAAGAGAAGTGACAATAAATGTGTAAGGATTTCTGGCTTTCATTCACATTCCTGATTAATTTAAATTTGCATACTTTTATATTATAAGCTCTCTTCCTCTCCCCCTTCTCTATCTATCTATCTACCTGCCTATCTGTCAATTTTTCAATTGTTCTTATGGATCAGCTTCTATTGAATTCTAATTACCTCTAAATACGTTTTTTCAATTGGAAAAGGGGCTGTCTCCCTAGCCCTACCTTTTTTGTTTATAGCTAGTCATAGCCCTAGAAGTTTGGCCTTAACTGATCTTTTCAGCAGTTCTTTTGACCCAATCCTGCACTGTTTTGATTCTAGGTTTGCTGTGGAATTTGTCCTCTAGTGACAAACTCAAGAATCTCATGATAACAGAAGCCTTGATTATCCTGACTGAGAATATCATCATCCCCTATTCGGGGTGGCCAGAAGGAGACTACCCCAAAGCGAATGGTTTGCTTGATTTTGATATATTCTACAATGTCACAGGATGCCTAAGGTAATGCCACTCTGCAATCCCCCTCCACCACCCCCACCACCCATACACACACACACACACACTTTTTTCTCCATGCACCTTAAATACTGCATTCATGTCTGTCTAAAACTCTACCCTATGGCCGGTAAGGGGAAGCTGTAAGAATATAGATCTTTCTAAATACTAGAACCACTAGTAGAGACAATGAGAACGGTTCAGATATCAATAGAGTATTGTTTCCAAACCCATTTGATTTCAGAAGCTACCCCCATAGCTCATAAGAGAGAGGGCGTCATTTTCAATAGAGAACCCAGGTATCTGATCTGAACACCTACAGGTCCATGCAGAATGGCCTTCCCCGTCTCACAGGTTTTAAAGCAGTTTTCATGCTTTTTTTAATTCACAAAAATCTGCTTTAATGACATGGCTAAAAGACATAATTTTGAACCTGGTGTTTTATTATTTTTATTTTTTTATTGAGGTATAGTTGACCTACATTATATTATTTTCAGGTATATAACATAATGATTTGTTATTATATATATTGTGAAATGATCGCCACAAAGTCCAGCTAGCATCCATTACCGTATATAGTTGCAGAATATTTTTTTCTTGTGATGAGAACTTTTAAGATTTACTCCCGAATATGCAATACAATTATAATTATAGTCACCATGCTGTACATTACATCCCCAGGATTTATTTCTGTTATATTTTTCTTATTTATTGATTTGAGAGAGAAAAAGAAAAAAAACTGATTTGTTGTTCAACTCATTTATGTATCCATTGGTTGATTCTTGTATGTGCCCTGACTGGGGATCAAACCTGCAACCTTGGCGTATTAGGAGGGTGCTCTAACCAACTGTGCTACCCAGCCACACTCTGTATTTGCACCTTTTGGCACCTTTCAAAAATTTTGCTAACACCCTCCATCCCCCAACTCCTCTCCCACCTTCAGCAATCTGTTCTCTAAATCTATTATTTCAGTTTTGTTTTGTTTTTTAGATTCCATATATAAGTGAGATCAGACAATATTTGCTTTCCTCTGCTTGACTTTTTTCAGTTAACATAGTGCCCTCAAGGTCCATCCATGTCATCACAAAAGGCAGAATTTCCTTCTTTTTTATGGCTGAACATATTATAAAAAATTTTTTATTTCTGTGAAAAATGCCATTGGAAATTTTTTAAAATATATTTTATTGGTTTTAGAGAGGAAGGAAGAGGGAGAGAGAGATAGAAACATCAGTGATGAGAGAGAATCATTGATTGGCTGCCTCCTGCACGCCCCCTACTGGGGATCGAGCCCACAACCCAGGCATGTGCCCTTGGCTGGAATCGAACCTGGGACCCTTCAGTCCTCAGGCTGACACTCTATCCATTGAGCCAAACCAGCTAGGGTGCCATTGGGATTTTTAATCCTCACCTAAGGATATGATATTTTTTTCATTGATTCTAGAGAGAGAGAAAGGCAGAGGGAGAGATAGAGAAACATTAATGTTAGAGTGAAACATCTATCACTAACTCCTGCACACTCCCCACCAGGGACCAAGTCCACAACCCAGGCATATGCCCCAACCAAGAATTGAACTCACACCCCTTTGGTGCACAGGATGATGCCCAACCAACTGAGCCACACTAAATTTGGATATGTATTGTATTGAGCCTGTAGATTGCTTTAGGTAGTGTGGACTTAACAATATCAGCTGTTCCAATCCGCAGGAGTGTGGTATATCTTTCCACATGTCTTATTCAGTGTCTTACAGATTTCGTCTTCTTGTTTAAATTTTTTCCTGGGTGTTTTTAAATAGCTATAAGGCAACATTGCCTAAAAGGACAGAATGTCTTGCCATAAGAACCTACAAAGAAGCTAGTTTGATCAGCATTTCCTAACATTGGGATGAAAAATGCCTGAAATGTTATTTTCCCTTGGGTTGTCAGATGACAACTAAATCAAGAAGAAATAGAGCCCTCGTCAGTTTGATTCAGTGGCTAGAGCATCAGCCCGAAGACTAAAGGGTCTCTGGTTCAATTTCAGTCAAGGGCACATACCTTGATTGCAGGCTCGTTCCCTGGGCTGGTCCGGCTGCATGCGAAAGGCAACCAACCGATGTGTCTCTTTCACATAGATGCTTCTCTCTGTCTCTCCCCTCCCTTCCACTCTCTCTAAAAACCAATGGAAAAATTTTCCTTGGGTGAGGCTTAACAAAAAAAAAAAAGGGAAAAAGAAGGAGGAGGAGGAGGGGGAGGGGGAGGGGGAGGGGGAGGGGGAGGGGGATAGAAGCACATGCAAGAGAAAGAAAAAATGCTAGTCTTCTCTAGATTCATGCATATCAAGCTTTCTCATATTTGGAAATATTCATTGTCCTTTATGTTCAAGGATTAAAAGAAATCAGATAGAGGATGTAATAAAAATTAGGCAGTCCCAAAGAAGTCAAGATGTATTCTGCCTTTCTATCTTTTCTCTGGGTACAGAGTTCATTTTGTTGTTGTAGTTTTTAGGAAGTCTGGGTGTTAACTGAGGGAATTTATTATGGTAAGATGTTTCTCTTACCTCCACAGTTAGTAATGCATATCAGATACCACTGTTGTATAATACAGTATGTTAGCTTCTGAGAGTTTTACAAAGAAAAATTAGAAAGTCCTTCAGGAGCTTTTAATCTAGCAGGGGATTCTGATGAGCAAATGGTGTAGAACACTGCCACAGTGAATGTGTTAGAGCAGTGGTTGTCTAAGTGGGGCCCCCAGTAGCATCTGGAACTTGTTGGAATTTTTGGAATCAGACGCTCTCAGGGTGGGGCCCAGCAATCTACTTTTAACAAGCCCTCCAGGGGCTTCTGGTGCACTGTGGTGTCGTCAGAGGTCCAGGTACAGTGCCGCAGGAATGCAGAACAAAGGGCCATTCATGCCAGCTGAGTGAGATCAGAAAGACACTAAAGAAGAGGCAGAGGCGCCAGGTGAGCTGGGCCTTGCTGGACTATTTCAATAGTCAGGAATTCTCTAAGGACAAAATTCTTCAACAGTATAAGAGGTGCTTAAATGGTCTCCCTTGAAATCCATCTCATATACAGTCCCCTGGAACTGCTTTTTAAATGCACTTTTGAGCCTTTAAAGCTTTTTTATCCATTTAAAAACATTTTGTATTTTAAGATTTCTCTGTGGTTCCCTTTGCCTTACCATGAGCAGCAGAGTTCTTAATGTGGCAAGTGTGTCAGTCAGGACTTTTTTCTGTCGAAAATGGCTGGTGCCAAGTTGGGATTCCTGGGCTCAGGTGTCTGAATGTTGACAGTGACTATGGAATTGAAGAAATTACACCAGGAACCATGGCCTCAAGGACTGGGACAGACTTTCAGCATGCCTGCTACTCACTCCTTTTTTTTTTTTTTTAATCTCATCTGTTTCCTCTCCTTCTGCATGCTGGGCTCATTCTTGACAAATGCAGGCATGCATACACATTTTTAAAATCATTAATCACTAACACCTAGCAAAGTTTCTGGCATATAGTAAGCAAATGTAAAGTATATGAATGAAAAGAATAAATGAATGAGTAAGCAATTGAAGATACATGGTGAATTAGGTGAATAATCGAGTCTGTCAAAAATGTCAAATTTTGTTGTTGTTGTTAATCCTTACCTGAGGATATTTTTTTCCATTGATTTTTAGAGAGAATGGAGGGGTGGGGTGGAGGGTGAGAGAGAGAGAGAGAGAGAGAGACATCGATTAGTTGCTTCCTGTATGCACCCTGACCAGAGCTCAAGGATGGAACCTGCAACCCAGGTACATGCCCTTGACTTGGAATCAAACCTGAGACCCTTTGGTCCCCAGGCTGGTACTCGAACCACTGAGCCAAACCAGCCAGGGCAAAAGTATCAAATTTGTGATAGAAAGTAATCAAACAGAAGTTGGAAACATAGGCTAAGGCCAGACTCTGGAGGCCCTGAAGGCCATGTTAAGGAGTTCAGTATGGCCCTAGCAGGTTTTGTTCAGGATAAAGCGTTAGTCTGCATACTGAAAGGTCCCAGGTTTGATTCCGGTCAAGGGCACATGCTCAGGTTGTGGGCTTGATCCCCAGTATGGGGCATGCAAGAGGCAGCCGATCAATGATTCTCTCTCATCTTTGATGTTTCTCTCTCTCTCTCTCTCTCTCTCTCTCTCTCTCTCTCTCTCTCTCTCTCTCCCCCCCCTTTCTCTCTGAAATCAATAAAAATATATTAATAATTTTAAAAAAGGAGTTGACTCTCTTCTTCTATAACCAATATTATCTAGTGTGGGGAGGATAGGAATATGATAAATTCTAGGTAAAGAAGAATAATTATATCAATAAGAAAGATATATTGAGACGGTAAAAATCTAAAGAGAAAGATGTTGCTTAAAAATCTCTTCCAGTGTCACCCCAATAAATTCAAGAAAAAGGAAAAAATATCTTCCTATAGTTTTCCCTGTGACTGAGGAATAAAATACCTATGTGTTTTGGGAAGATGTAATAGCTGAATACACTCCCATTTACATAGTCAATCCAAACTACTGACTTGAACTACTTTTAGAGGAGAATATAAAAAAAAAAAAATCTGGGAAATTAAGCACCATAGCATATGCTTACTAAAATATCTGTTCTTATTTCATCTGTATATCTACTTTATTATAATAATGGCTAATATTTATTTATTATGTTCTAGAAATTGTTCTAAATGCTTTATGAGGATTTTCTCAGTTTATCCTCACAGTAGCCGTTGTAAAGTATATTTTCCCTATTTTATAGATGAGGAAACGGGCTCAGAGAGATTGAGATATTTTCCCATCATCATACAGCTAGTAAGAGACAAAGCTGAAATTTAATACAGGAAGCATGTCTCCAAAGCCAAAGTTCTTAATTAGCATATGGGATACATTAATGTTAGTCACATGTCTACAGACTGTGCTGATGAGGATAAAACCTCTTCCCTTCACAGGCTGGCAACCTCACAAGGTCAGGTAGGCCAATTACAGACATGTTCACATCTCATTATGAACATTGTACCTGCATT